TTACCCAGCTGCCTTTGGGCTGCACAGGCAGCTCGACTGGCTGAGTGTGTCTCTCAGAAAGAAGATCTTGCACAGAAAGTAATGGAAGGCCTGGGTTTTTCCAGATTGTCCGTTCACATTGATTAAAATTGTCCAGGTTCTTGCCTCGTCATCCCCCACTCTAAAGTGCTGAGGGAGCAAAGTCTTTGTAGCATTTCTTAAAGCGGCACTTTTCAATTTGCCTGCACCCAGGAGCTTTATTAACAGACAAATGCTTGGACCCATCCCCAGAGTCTGATTTAATTGGTCCAGGGTGGGGCCCAGGCAACCCTGTGTTTTCAATTCCGCAGGTGACTCTCATGGACAGCCGAGGCTGTGAAGCCAAGTGTGAGAACTGATTCAGAGTCCATGAGCGCTTGTTTAAAATGCAGACACGCAGATTCAGAATTCTAGGTCTGTTGGGGATGTGCGGTTAGGGTTTTGCTCCTTTAGTTATTCTTAGGCTTCTATTGGAGTGCTAGTTCTACTATTTGTCATTTATTTCCCTGTTTGCTTGCCCTGTTCTCTCAGTTTTTCAGTTGTGGAAAAGGGCAACCCTCAGGCTGGAAACAGTAGTTGCATCATTCTTTGAACCTTGAGAGCAGGGAATGGGCACTTATTCTTATTTGCTCCCCGTCATAATGCCCAGAGCCTGGCACATGGTTGGCTCTCAGTTTATTCATTGAGTTAATGATTGAGCCACACCATATCAGATAAACCAGTGGTTTACCATATATTTGTTTGACATTTAGTCAGGGCTATTGCCTCAAACACCTGTAAACACACACACGCGCACACACATTCACACATACTCCTTACACTCCTTACACACCTGCAGGTAGAAGCCACTGTCTTCAGCTCTCAAAAAACCACCCAGAGATTACCATTGGGTATACTGATCTGTACACATCCATCTGGAAAAAGGTAGATTCGAAGCAAGTGGACGGGGGGGGGGGTGAGCAGACTTTCTAAATAGCTGTTCTAAGGTTCTTACCCCAGCTTCTCTGCAGTCTGAGATGGGTGGGCTCTCATTTCAGCCACTACCAAAAGGTGAGCATTTGTGCCAGTGCTGAGATAGGTGTCATAAGTTGCCAACCCATGCCATAAAAAATTAAGGAAAAGTGCATTTTTGAAAATAAGCTAGTCTGATTTTCTTTTACTCTCAAATAAATTCAAGAATGTTTGCTTTTTATATTATTCTAGAGTCTTGCAACATGTTCCTTCTTCATTTATAGTAGGGGTCTCCAAGAGTCTGTTGATTCTTTCCCCAGATTCCTGCATTTTTTTTTTTTTGTGGTAGGCTGGTGTTTAGATGTTTCAGGCTCTCTTAGGACTGTCTTCTTGGGAGGTCAGGCGCAGCCAGGGGTCTTTAAGTCAGATAAAGGATGGGTTGATGGGGCTGGTCACTTGCAGGTCAGCTCCGAAGCCCAATTTACACTCAGCTAATCACCACTGGCTGATGTATAGGATCAGAAAGCAGTACAGCTGGCACATCCTGACCTGAGGATGGTTCTTACAGCCAGAGAACTGCCAAACTCTTTGGATGATGACCCAGTGGTCCTGGGAGCTTTCGTAATATGTTTCAAATTGGGAGATTTTGAAAGTTTATAGTCCAAAAGAGAAAAAGAGAGAAGGGTTGTCAAAGTTGGGATTTAGAATAGTGGGCCGGGACTCCCCTGGTGGCGCAGTAGTTAAGAATCCGCCTGCCAATGCAGGGGACACGGGTTTGAGCCCTGGTCCGGTAAGATTCCCACATGCCGTGGAGCACCTAAGCCCGTGCGCCACAACTACTGAGCCTGTGCTCTGGAGCCAGCGAGCCACAACTACTGAGCCCATGTGCCACAACTACTGAAGCCTGTGTGCCTAGTGCCCGTGCTCTGCAACAAGAGAAGCCACCACACTGAGAAGCCCGCGCACCACAACGAAGAGTAGTCCCCACTCGCCGTAAAGCCCACGTGTGGCAACGAAGACCCAAAGCAGCCAAAAATAAATAAATAATTAATTAATTTAAAAAATAAAATAAAATAGTGGGCTATCCACAGTGCATATCATTTTTTTAAAAAAATAACGTTAAAAAAAAACCCTGGATAGTGTGTTCTTTCCAAAGCAGTTTGCCATACCCTGAACCAGTGACTTCTTTAGCTGCCAACGCTTGCCAGACTTATTGATTTAAAATGACTTCATTCATGTTAACACAGCACCTGTGTGGAAGGAGTAACTTTATAGGACTTTTTTTTTTTTTTTTTTTGCTATGCGGGGGCCTCTCTCTGTTGTGGCGTCTCCCGTTGCGGAGCACAGGCTCTGGACGCGCAGGCTCAGCGGCCATGGCTCACGGGCCCAGCCGCTCCGCAGCATGTGGGATCCTCCCAGACCGGGGCACGAACCCGTGTCCCCTGCATCGGCAGGCGGACTCTCAACCACTGCGCCACCAGCCAAGCCCTATGGGACATTTTTTATAATTTGAGATGATCTTATTTAAGGAGGAATCTTGCAATTATCTCTTTTGCCTCAGGGAAAATATAGCTTTTTTCCCCCCTTTGTCTTGTTATAATGACAAATTATTTTGCTTTAAAGAAGGAAAATGAGGGAAAGACAGAAAAGATATAAAGGGAGATGAAAAATGTTCCAGGAAAGAGCAAATAAAATTATTAAAGGGATGCAGAGGCCAGGAAAGAAATTTGGAAGTAGACTAAAAGATTCACTCCTTTTCCATCAAGAAAGATGAGAAGTTATCAGACTTTAAATAAGTCACATAAGGTTAAGGTGAACGGTCATATGTTTACCAAATCCTAGAGTATTAGGAAGAGGTACTTTTCAAAAAAGAATGCATTGTTTTTCATATTAGTACATATTTGAGGGTCTCAGAATCCAAAAAAATGACCTTGGTACAAATATGATTTAAATGGGAGATCCAAGATGGCAGATACATAGCATGTATGTCACTAGGTCTCTTTCTGTACCCATGACAGACATTATTAATTGATCAGGCTGCTGTTTCCAACTTAACTAGATACATGCACCCTTGGAATTCTTTTCAGCACAGTGTGACAGAAAGTCGGTTAGCTAGAGATGGCCCTTGAGATGAGCCCATTTTGCTACCTACGGATTAGCCTTACTACTCAAAGTGTGAGCTCCAGACCACCAGCATGGGTGTCCTGTGGGAGCTTATTCTGAAACCAGAACCTCAGCCCCATTCTAGACTTACTGAATCAGAATCTGTATTTTAGCAAGATACATAATTCTTATGTATATTAAGGTTTAAGTGGCCCTGGAGGAGCACTGAATGCATGATATATTCATTAGGGTGGAAGCTCTGAAACTTCAGAGTGCATCAGAATCACTGGGTTAAACACTTGGTAAACCTAGATTGTTGGGCCCCAGCTCCAGAACTTTTGGTTTAGAAGATCTAGGGTGGGGCTTATCAAACAAGCTTCCAGGTGTTGATGCTGCTGTTGGTGGTCTGGGGACCACAGTTTGAGAAAAACTGCATTAAGGCCATGGAAATACTTTGGAATATCTCCATGACCTTTAAAGTCAAAGACTGCAGTATATTTCCATAACTTTCCTTCAGAGGGAGGAATACCTGAAATTGTGTACAAGACTGTGTGCATTTCAGTTTCGCTAGAGTAGAAAGTTGCTGCATAGAATGGGTGGAGATAAGATAGGAGAGGGAGCAGGCCAGGGTAAGAGCCCTTCTTATTTCTTAATGCTGCTTTGAGAGATTGTCTTAAAACTTTATTTCCTACGATCTGGATAATGACAAATCAATGCTATTGGCATTGAAAATCAGGCTATAGGGTGGGCATACTGTGAAAACCTGTATCTCAGAGCCAGAGAAGAGAAACAGCTTATAAACAGAAATGACTGGGGGTGGGGGGTGGTTTGCAGAAGCAGTATTTTAATAATAGGGATAATAATACCCAACTTACTGGTCTCTCACATAGCTAAGTACCTGTGCTAAATGACTGTAATGAACGATCTCATTTAACCAAACAACAGTATATTATGTATATGTAATCAAACCCCTTCCTTACTCCCAGTGAGAACCGAAGCTTTGTAAGGATGTATGTAAAGTTAGAGAACTTGCCCGATTTAAATCCAGGTAGTTCTACGGGGGTGGGGGGGGGCTTCTCATCTATGAGGGGTCTGGCTTGCCTGTGTCATCTCTTCCAACTCTCAGCGAGGAACCCATAGAGCACCTGGGACAGGAGAGAAGTCCTCAGGTGAATTAAAGTCGAGGAACCTGTAGGGCCAGTGCGTCCGAGGTGCGGACAGGGAGGGTCTCCTACATGAAGCGCAGCAGAATTTAGCCCGAGCCCGCCGGGGTCATGGAGCTTCTCCTGGCTTCCTCTGGCCAGTCTGTGGTAGGTTGCAAGGAGGAACCGTCTTGGGGCGGGAGGCTTCGCGGGGTATTGTATATGCCTATAAATACTTCAAATAGTTAAGTGAAATGTGCAGCCTTTGAAAGCTGGAGAGGAAGCTATTCGGTGGCCCCCCGGCCCGCCTGGAAGAGCTGGCAGAAAAGAGAAGAAATGGCTGGCGCGTCCTTAACGCGGGAGACGAGGAACGGCCCTGCCCAGACCAGATGGGGGGCCGCGGGGCTGCAGGCGCGACTCCGGAAGCCTCAGACCGTTAAGGTGACCAGAACAATTTGAAAAAGGAAACGAACTTCCCCGGAGCCTTCCCCGCGGGGCCCCGAGGCGGGCGCTTGCGTTCGAAAGGGCATTTTTCAAAAGGTTTCAGGGACGCGGGGGTGTCAGCCCGCGGGGGAGCGCGAAGCCCGAGCAGCGCTGCAGAGCGGCCACCAGCTGGCTTTGTACTTGCGGCCAAGCGCGGCCCCAGACTTTCGGCGGCGGCCCGGGAGTTGAGGCCACGCCCCCCTTTGCAGTGAGAGCCGCGGCTGCAGATTGGCCCGCCACGGACCAATCGGCGCGCCGGGGCGGCCCGGGCTGTCAGCGCGCGCCGCAGCAGCGCGGGTAGCAGCCTGTCCTACCCTGCGCGGAGCCCCGCAGCCAGCGCAGCCTTCCCGGGAAGCGCGGCGGCCGCTCGCGAGCGCTGCACTGCCCTGCCCAGCCCGCCAGCCGCGCGTCCCGGTGCCCGCGCCCCACGGCCACAGCCTTGCTGCGCTATAACGCACGGAGCATGTGCAGACCCGCAGGCGTCGAGGTGCTATCTGTCCGGCGGGCTTCTGAGCTGTGGTGACTGTCACGCGTAGAGAGACCTTTCGGGGGCTCTCGCCGCGCCTCTGCGTAGCGGGTGACACTGCGGTGCTCGCAATCAGGGCGGCAGCTGCCTGTCGGTGAAGACGTCTTGGGCTCCGTGCGCCCTCCCTCTCCCCCCTATCGTTCTTTCCTTTCCCCAGCTGCTCGCTCCTTAGCTCGCCCGCTCACACCCGCAGCCTCCCTGAGCGGGAGGCGTGGGTCCCCGCCGCTTCTCTTCCAAAGGCGCCTCCTTACTTCGGAGATGCAGTGACAAGTTAATATGGGCGTCCAAGCCTCGAGTTCCCAGGAGGAGAATCGCAGGAGGCAACAGCTCCTAAGCACCCGGAGCCCTTGAACAGGCCGCCCAGGAGGGGCGTGAAACCCGGCTGCAGCATCCGTCCAGGTGGGACCAGCTGAGCGCCGCGACCAAGGCGAGCTCGCCGGATTGCTCCGAGATCCCCGACCCGGGGATATTTTTTTCTTTCCCTCGGCTAGTGGTGGGCGCCTCTCGGGCCGAAGCCCGGCGCCTGCTCTGCTGCCCGCGCTGCCTTTAGCGGTCGCCTCCGCCGCCGCTGCCAGGGACGTGCTGGGAAAGCCGAAGCCCCGGGAGAAGATGCCGGCCATCCTGGTCGCCTCCAAAATGAAGTCGGGACTGCCCAAACCCGTGCACAGCGCCGCGCCCATCCTGCACGTGCCCCCAGCCCGGGCGGGCCCCCAGCCCTGCTACCTCAAGTTAGGAAGCAAGGTGGAGGTGAGCAAGACCGCCTACCCTAGCCAGATCCCCCTGAAATCGCAGGGGCTGCAGGAGCCGGCGGGGGAGGGGCTCCCGCTGCGGATGAGCGGCTCGGTGGAAAACGGGTTCGATACCCAGGTGAGAGGTGCTGTGTGCCGGGGCACTGTTCTGGGAGAAGGGTGAATGCTTGGGGGGGGGGGGGGGGTTGGCATGGCCGGATAGGGGACAGGGCTACCCTGTGGGCTGAGAAGGGAACCGTCCCACTTAGGCCGGCAGATTGGGGGATGCGCGCGGAGAGTGGGCTGGCCAGTGGGTGTGGCCGGGTGACCGAGGTTTGCCTTAAGGAGCTCTGTGAGACCGGGGTGCGGTTACGTCTGCGGCTTCCTTCTGGCGGGCACGGTCAGGGTGTTCTCAAAACTGTGCCGCACTGGAAATGTCAGGTTCTGCATGTTGAGATCTTGGTCCCAAGAAGGCAGTGACTGCTGCAGCGTCTGTCTGTCTGTGTGTCGGTTCTGCAGAGATTCTGTCCCTGCCAAGGAATAGTCCGAGGCCTCGTTGGGCTCCACGCCCTCTGGCCTGGCTGAAAGATCCAGGGAAAGGGGTCTGGGGGTGGCAGTGTACCTGCTCGCCTCGTCGTGAAGATGCCTGCCCCTGCCCCATCCTTTGGGTTGACAGGATTCCAGGCATGGTGCTGGGACCGCAGTAGAAGTGCTCGGAGCACCGGCGGAGGCAGGCAGCTGGAGACTCCTAGCGTCTCGGCTAGCTGTTGCGGTGGGCGGGGGTGCCTGCCTCAGAATGGCGGCCCGAAGCTAAGCCCCTCCTTCCTGGGTAGCAGATCCTGGTGCCGGTAGCCCGGGTGACTGGGGCTGGGGTGGGGGGATGACATGAAAAGAATTGATGACTTCTACCTTTCCAGACAGAGCCCGCATCACCCAGTTCGGCTGGGTGACGGGCCCTAGCCATGCAATCTCTTTTAAGGAAATCAGCAAGGGCCAATCAGGTTCTCCTGGCCTCCTGCCCTTTCTGCTGCTTTTTTTTTTTTTCCTTTTTTCCTCTTCTGGTAGGAGGGAGTAGGGGCGTGCTGTATTTTCTTGGCAGTTGGTCAGCAGGGACTTTTGGGGACAGGCAGACCTGACGGATGTGACTGTCCCGGTCAGGAGAGGCGGGAAGCCAGTGGGGGAGGTAGTTTGGGGCTGGTGTCAGGGAAGTGGCAACAGACCAGCTGACCTTTTTGACACTTATTCTCTGCTGACACCGTCTCCACCTTCTCCTGGAGATTTCTCTGATCAGAGGCTAGAACTCAACACATTCCTAGCCTTTCTGATGGAGGAACTGGAGCTGGAAGCTAATTGTAAGCAGACTTTTGGAACTCTGGGTTGGAGAAGGCCCTCAAAGCAGATTAAGCTCCCACGCCAGGCTGATAAGCATGCCCCTTGCTGCTGCACTTGCTAAACATGTTTGGAAGCTGACAGGTTTGAGTGATGGTGTGTGGGAGAAAGATTTCCCCCAGTGCTCCCAGGGCCTGTCTCTGCCGGGGTTTTGTGCTCTGCGCTCTTTTTCTGCCTTCAGCACAGGTTTGTACGTGGGCTCTGAAATGGGAATGAGCTTGGGGGTGCACCCTTGTGAGGGTTTCCCCTCCATCCTTGGAGACGGGGCTGATGAGGTGTGGTGGGTGGTATGCAGGAGGCCGGAGCAGTGACTCCGGGATGTGACACACAGCCTCCAGCCTGATGAGGAGGACCCAAAGAATGAGGGGGGAAAGTGGACACTGGGATCGTTGCTACCCAGGCAGCTGTTCTACCGTTGCCCATTTGACCCTTCATTTAACAAACACTGTCGGTGGACTTGCCATGGGCAGGCTCTGGAAAGGTGATTCATCCCTCTTCTTCCTGAAAAAATGATCTCCAGCTGCTGCCGGAGGAGCTGGTGTGGTCCAGTTCCCTCGAGGCTTTTCTTCTCTCCCTCGCCCTTGGCCCACAGTCCCCTGGCTGCCCCCACGCCACCTGCCTCACCCTCAGTGGGACCTTGTGTACTGACCATATGGATGGTTTGGATGGATTGCTGAGGAAATTGGCCACTTCCCAGTGGGCTCTCCTGGTTTTTACCAGCCTGCCCTTTCTTTATTCATGGCCGAGCTTCCTGGCGGCTCTTCTCTGTGGCAGGTACAGATCCTTTGTCTCACTGCCTCACCCTGGCATCCAAGTGACATTGGCAAAAGGGGTTTTCCCGTCTTTGGACAAGGCTTCCTCCCCCTTTGCCTGACACGGTGTCCATTCACCATCCAGGAAAGCCTCTCCATACGGCTCGAGGACTGTGTCAGACTTGACACATCTGGTAGTCCTGGACTCAAAACCTGGTATTTATCACTAGAAGATACTCAGGAGATGATGAGTTAAATGGCAAATGGCATCTGACTCCCCTTTTATTCAGGGGGGTTTGGGGAGAAGGCTGGGTTGTGCAGTGGTCAGTAGCACAGGCTTTAAAGTCAGGTGGATATCCCTGGTATCCTGTCTCCACCATGTACTAGCTGGTGACCTAGTCCATTAACCTCTCTGGGCCTCACTGTTCCCATCTGTAAAAATGGGCATTAAACAACCACACAAATTATGAGGATTAAGAAAAAGAACATATGTAAAGTGTCATATATACATATGTTGATATATACACATATACATACATCATTTAGACATGTGTATAGACATATATAGCCTAGTGTCAGGCAACTAGGAAACACTCAATAAAATGAGCTATTCGTATTGCTAAACCAAGAGATGGGGCATTGTTGAACGTAGATCTGATAGCCTCTCAGTGAGAAAAGGCATAGCTTATTCTGTCAAGCCCTTGAGAAGGCATCATTCAGTCCGCGAGGATTTACAGAGCATCTGTCACATGCCTAATCCAGTACCAGCCATGGTGGGAAGATGAGGGAAGTGCCTGATGTGCCAGGCTCTTTACATACGATCTCATTTCATTCCCACAGTAACACTTAAAGCATATATAGCATTTTCTATGACAGTAATTTCCTGTAACATCTTCTTTAACGACAATAATATAATAATGGCGAGTCATCACATAGCACTTCCTATGTGCCAGGAATTGTTCTAAAAGACCTCATTTGATTCTTACAACAATCCAGTGAGACAAGTGTTATTATTCTCATTTTACACATGAGGAAACTGAGGCAAGGACCGGGTTAGTAACCCCTTGAGCAGCAGAAGTAGAATTAGGACTCGGACAGTCTGGCTCTGGACTCCATGTCCTAAACCAGCATGCTATAGAGAGAGAGTCATAGGGACTTTCCAGTTACTCGCAGGCCCTGATTTCTAAGAGCACTGCTCTAGCCATTGAGCTGGAAGAGTACGCAGGACTTAGCAAAAGGTAGAATAACTTGCTCTAGGTCATCCTGCTCCAGGGTGGCGAGTGGGGGGCCCAACTCAGGCTGGTCTGGCTTCCAGGCTGGGGGTCTTCCCCGCTTCACAGCTGCCATCCTCCTGGATGCTCTGGCGGAGGTACAGGGGGATAAGACACGGCCTGGGCCTTGGAGATCTTATAGTCCAGTTGGGAGGCATGACTGATGTACCCAGGGCATCAAGCACAACACGAAGAGGGCTGAGAGGTATGCTTGGGGCTGAAAGGAAGGAAAAGGCCACCATGGCTGGAGAAGTCCTGAGGGCCTCACGGAGGAGGCAGGAGATGGCGGGCTCCAGAGATGGGCAGGAATGGCTGGCTGGGGAGGAGAGGGGGTGAGATGAGCATGCCAGGGAAGGAGGAGAAGCAGGGCCACGCAGCGGTGCAGAGCAGGAGTGGGTGTCGCCACCGGGAAGCCGCACCTTCACCTAACAGGTGATTGCTTCGTATCTGGTATCTTCCTTTTGAAAGGTAATCATGAGCAAAGAACAAAGGCTTCTTGCAGTTGAGGGATTGGATTTGCGTGCTGCCTTCGTGGTCCGTAGTCATCCTGAGCATGCAGGGTAGTTATGAGAAGGTGGAAGGATGGTGTCCATAAAAGACCTGTTTCATAACAGCCCCTTGGGAAATGACAGTGATTATTATTATTAGCTTAGGGTTCAGAATATCCAACATGGTAGTGATGCGGAAAGGACATGGGTCTCGTGGCTTTTATTAGGCAGCGACTCTCTTTAGCCAGTGACAGCCTGTTCTCCCCCAAGCCTGCTGTCCATCGCCATCAAGTGTGAAAAGACCTGACGCAACCAGCAGCTAGCTTTTAGGTGCAGCCCCACTGTCGACTTGCCAAACCCCTCACGTTGAATCTCTCCCTACAGCAGGGACTCGACCCGCAGAGAGAGGAACTGCTCTGCAGCCACACATCCCTCCCGAATTCCCCTCCTGGTGTTGGGATACCTGGGCCTTCCCCCAAGAATGAACATTTATAGCATCTGCTCTGTTAACATGGCGTATAAATTATGACCATGTGCAAAGAATTGTTTTAGAGATCTGCTCTGTGTTAGTTCAGAAACTCTGTCCGGCTGACCTTCAGATAAGGAATGCTTGTGAGCTATTTGAGGAGAGGTTAGCCTATTTTTAAGAAGCAGTTGCAGGGGAAAAAAATTATATATATAATATTTTGATATTTCCTGTTTTTAGGAGCCTGGGGTTCAACTTGCAACTCATTTCTTTAAAAAAGTAATTAGAAGTGATTGAAATCCTCTGTGGGTGTTTTAGATGTTTAAAAAGAAAGCGCAGGCGAGGGAGGCCCCTGGGAAGAGAGCGCAGCTCCAAGCTTGCAACCTGTTGCAACTTTGCCCCATTGTGTTTTGATTAGAATCCTTGCTCCATCATCAAAGTTGATTATGGATTTGATTAGTGCATTTTTCTGCTATTGTGTTATTCCCTTTCTTCTCTTCCTCGGTTCTTGGAGGGGGAATGTGTAGCATGGTTATCTGCCAACATGCAAGAATGTTTATAGTTCACGTATTATTGCTTATTCCGTGGGTTAATTTTCTGAAGACACTTTAAGGGTGGGACTGGTGGCTAATTTAGGGTATCATTACGTGTGTATATATGTCTGTATAAATACATCTACTTCTGGATATGTGTATATATACATATATACACACACATATACAAATATATACACATGGAACAGCTTAAAGTAATGAGCACATGTAAGCACACAC